TTTAACACCTAAAAAACATTCTTTTGCAGCAGATTTGTTTACAGCCTATTTCTATAAACTGCAATTGTTGCTGTTAAGTGCCATCGAGTTGGTTCTGACTCATATCAATCCTGTATAGGGTTTCTGAGGAGCAGCTAGTGAGTTTGAACCTCCTACCTTGAGGTTTTATCTGACCTTAAGGTCTAGTGCTTATCCTACAGCACCACACCAGGACTCCTATAAACAGCAATAGTGATGAGAAAGGTTTTCAATATTTACTAAGGATCAAGACTTGAGTTACTGCCACTTTGAGCTTCTTGTCTCACTTGTGATAAGATTTATCAATAGCAGGGGTATTAACTTGAAAAAAAGGAGTTTTTTTTTTTTTTTCCTGGACTTTACTGGAGCCCTGTATTGGATTTAAGGGGTCAAAATTCCTTAGTGGAAGTTTCATGATTATTAAGAAGACCAACTCTTTAATGATATGTTTTTTCTTTTCTAGTTAAATGCATGAGTCCTGGTGTGGCACTGTGGGTTAATGCGCTCATCTGCAAGATTGGTTTGAACCGCAAAGTTGGTGGTTCAAGCTCACCAGCTGCTCCTAGGAAACCCTATGCAGGATCACTATGGGTCGTAACTGACTGAGGGCACTTAACAGCAACATGGATAGTTACTGACACAGTACATATACTTAACTAAAAATCGTATAAGACTCTTCAAAGTAATTGAGAATACCAAAAAGAATAGAATTTTTATTCTTAAATGATAGAAAGGTTATTTCAGGCCATAACTTCTCCCAGAAAAAAATAAATCATGCAGATTTTGGAACTATAGAACAATGCATTCATTGCAACTCTGTAGTGTACTCCTTTTCTTTGCCATGAATATTCCTGATAATAATTTTGAAAGCATATACACTTGGATTGAGCACTTTGGAAAATTCCTGTTTCTTACATCCTAGTAGCATTTCCTGGGGAGAGGTATGCTTTCTTGGCAACAAGTTCATATATTACATTATGTTAACTGTAATTGTCACACAAAAAAATATAAAGGATGGGACAGTTATCCTTTTTCTACAGACATGAGGTTATGTATCTTGAGTAAGACCATACAACTACCGTATTTTATATAAATAAAACACACATTGTATTTTTGCATACTGTATAACTTGTGTTAGTTTCATATGCTCATTATACCAATATTTTTCACAAGTTATTCCATTCACTTTTCATTTTTTTCTTTCTTTCCAATGGATTTAATGTTAAGTCTCCATCTTGGCATCTGTTTCAGTTTGGTTCCCAGTAGTTTCTCTCCTGACAGGATTCTTTCCTTTCTGTGCAAACCGCTTTCTCCAAACGCAGGCAGAAATCACTTTTTCTGCCTTGAATCAGCCCTCGCCAGGACAGCTGGTCCCAGCCACAAAAGGGCAAGGGTCTGCACCCAGAGCAGGAGAGAGCCTAGGGCTCAGAGGGGTTATTTAAGCACCCTGCTTAAACAAGAAGGTCTGAGTGGCCACTTGAGGGCCTGCTCCCGCACAGCACAGTCTTACCACCTGGTTTCATGTGGGGTCGGTACAGTGGGACCTAGGTGAGCATGGACAATGGGTCCCTGCTTGCTACGGGATTAACTTGGGTTCAGGTTGTGGTAGAGCCACACACAGCCTTCCACCCCATCCTCTGTATGTCTTTGCATGGTGGTGCTGTTGTTAAGTGCTGTCGAGTCACTTCGGATCCATAGTGACCCTGTATAGGGTTTCCAAGGAGTGGCTGATGAGTTTGAACTATCAACCTTGAAGTTCAAACCGACTTTGCAGTCCAGCGCATTAACCCACAGTACCACAATAGGATTCCTTGCATGGTGCGCCTGGACACAGATCTAATACAAGAAACTTCATTGCTCTGAGGCCCTTCCATGAGTGGCCCTAGAGCAAACTCACAGTTTCAAGTATATATTTTCTGATTAACAGGGTACTGCCAAACTTGATCCATGATTCCTTGCCTATGGCTTAGGCTTATACCTTTATTATATAAAATAAGATCAAAAGTAACATTTTCAGATTATTGGGTGAGGATGAATGAGGCAAAAAGTATTTTCTTAGAAATATCACAAGACATGCATAGTGAACATAATTTCATCATTTCTACACATTATATGTGTGTGCAAATTATTTATGTGTATATGTTGTTTGTGAAAAAACACCAAAGTCGTATTTACATAAAAATAAAGTAGTAAGTACATAACTGCATTCCCGTGTGGCACCGTAGGATTAGCACTGGACTGTTAACCAAAAAGTCGGCAGTTCAAACCCACCAGCTGCTCCCTGAAAACAATGTACAGGGTCACTATAAGTTGGAACCAACTCAACGGCACTTAACAACAACAACAACAGCAAAGTACATAACAGGGGTTCAAACCCAGGTTTAGATGCAAAGTTCATACTGTTTCCTCTACACCATGATGCCCCCCAAGGATCTCTGGTAGAATAGTAGTTACGAGTCGGGCTGCTAACTGCAAGGTCAGAAGTTCGAAACTACCAGCTTCTCCGTGGGAGAAAGATGAGGCTTTCTGCTCCTGTAAAGATTTACAGCCTCAGAAACCCTGTACAGGGTCACTATGAGTTGGAACTGACTCCACGGCATATAGCCACCACCATGATGTTCCCCAGATGTAACCTGATTTTGATGTGTGTTCTATTTCTGCTTTCGGTTGTCTTTAACCAAGTCTTTGTGCTAACTATATTCATAAATATGAAAAATGCCTCTCAAATGTTTAGGCACTACTTTGTACAAAAGAAATGAGTTGAAATCATGTTTTAGTGTAGAAAGGTATACAATTAATCAAAAGCCTATGGCGGTAAAGGATTGGATTGGAATAAAGGAGCAACAGTGAAAGAGAAAAAGAATAACAAAGGAAAATTGCAGCAGTAAAGCTAATTGGGAAAACCTCTGAGACAACAAACAGAACTGTTGTCAGTTTCCATTGAGTTGATTGTGACTCATGGTGACCCCGTGTGTACAGAACAGAAGTTTCAAGGTCTGTCTTCTAAGGTACTTCTGGATAGGTTCAAACTGCCAATGTTTTCATTAGTTGTTCAATGCTTGACCATCTAATGAGGGACCCTATACATAGACTGACCTCCTGGTGTGGCATTGTGGGTTTATACGCTGGACTTTATAGTCAGTTTGAATCACAAGTTTGGTGGCTCTAGCTTACCAGTCGCTCCTCAGAAACCCTATACAGCACTTAACAATAACACTTAACAGCAATGGCACTTAACAACACCACCAACAACAACAACATACATAGACTAGGTTATTGGCATTTGTGGTTGAAGAGCCAGGAGCTATGAACTTGCAAATATGTACATTAAACATACACCTGTGCTGTTTTTATTAAATATAGGGTAAGTATGTATTAAGAACAACAGAAACAAAATTCTGTATCCAACCCATTTTTTGTGATGAGTGCATTATTGCAAAATAAATACATGAATGGGCCCAATTTACCATACCTAAATGGCCTGTTTCTCATCTTGCTCACAAAGATCATGCTATGTCAGAAGTGGAGGACACTTTAGAGGTCAACTACTTTCTTCATTTTCAGGCTCAAGAAGTTCAATGACGTTCTCAGTGTCACAGCTATCTCTTCTTTCCTAACACATTCATGAAACCTGCCACTCAAACTTTGCAGTCTTATATATAAATGAGGAAGGGAAGGAGCCAAATCATGACTCTAATACTATGCATTAGAGAATCCTGATGTGGTGCTATGGGATAATGCACAGGACGGAAAGGTCAATTTGAACTGCTAGGTCGGAGGTTCAGACTCATCAGCAGCTTCTCGGAAACCCTAGACAGGATTGCTATGAGTCAGAACTGACTTGACGGCACTTAACAACAGCAACAAGAGAAATTTTATTTTAAAAAGCAAATAGAAGGACTTTGAGAATCACGGTTGTTGTTGTAAAGTGCCATTGAGTCGGTTCTGACTCATAGAGACTCATGTCTAAATATAGACAAAAGATTCTACTAAATGTTTAAGAAAAACCATGGATTATTGTCTTTGTGCAGCTATAAAAGCTTTGTGATTAAAGTTCTTTATGATTACTGCTAAAAAATATTTTTCTGAGAAAAAAAATCCATTTTTGTTGATAAGGGATAATTTATTTCACTGAGTTCATTGTTACGACAAATTGTACTTTTCAGTTATTAATGCTCTTGTTTTTCCTTCTCTGTAGACTTCATTATTCATTTCTTTAATGTGTATGGAAACTTAAAAATAATCCTATCTGCAGAAAAGCCAAAATAAATGGTTGCTCAAGGGTACTGCTAATTTACACAGAGTAGATTTTATTTGGTCAACATGTTTTTTACTTGGTTAACTATGATTATCTAACGAGAAACCCCCTTAGCAAGACATGATATGCAAATGTTATTGTGATTAAAAAAAAAAAAAGACCTTTCAAATGATTTCCTCCAATTGCATACAAGCGATCATTCATTACAGCCAAAGTGTGGATGGCGCGTTTTGTGTTCATATCTTGTTTTCGAGCCCAGACATCCATTACAGGGTCATAGCAGTATAGCCATGGGACATATTCTCCATTGTGAACACCTCCTGTGAATTAAACATATACATATAAGTCAAGAAAGTGCCTTGGAACTGAACTTGGAAACAGAAAGTCGAAGAATGACTTGCCTGAAATGTATATTTTTCCATTGTGCACTGCTCCCGCATGAGCTGCTAGAGGCTGTGGCAATGAGGACACATAACGCCATTCATTTGTTTCTAGGTTATAACACTCCACACTGGACAAGTAGCCAGTCTCATTCCTTCCACCAATAACATATAAATGTTTGTCCAACCGACATGCATAGAAACTGGCTCTTCTGCAATAAAAACAACCACCCTCAGTGAATCACAAAAGGAATTGAAATAGGATAAGGGACAATCAGTTGTTCAGGAAAAGGAGGTCTACTGTGCTGTAAAAAGGTTGTAAACTTGTAGAGCCTATAAACATAGTTACTTTATAAACCTGAGACAATATGCACTAATCATATGTATTGTCCATTATTGACAAGATATTTGATATTGAAGAAATAGTAAAGAAGTAATTCAAATCTATTTCAGCTCTTTTTATCTTGCTTTTTATACACTAAGTGTTCATTAATGTTTGGGGTCTTTGGTACCTTGTAAGGATAGCACAGCTCAATAAGACAAAGTGAAAAATGAGGTAGATAATGTAACAACAATAAATTATCTTGACATTCACTTTCTTTATGGTCCTTCAAGGGTCATTGTTTCCAATTTATAAGAGAACTACATCATCAAAATTTTTCTTCAATGATCATTTTTTTTCTTTTTCCCACCCCTAATACTATTGCAAATAGAACAACTTTTGTGAATTGCATATAATGTTCAATTTTGCTTTTATATAATCAGTTATAGGAATTTCATCTAAGTAACATTTGGTATTGATTCTTAAAAGGCTATAGGATACTTTTTGAGTCCATTTTCATAACAAGCTATGGACCTTCAAAATCAAACAATATAAAACTGTGTGAAAGGACAATTCTGAACTAGACGTCTACAAAAGTCTAGGTGTGACATATGTTGCTGCTGTTGCTATGTGCCGTGGAGTTGGTTCTGACTCATAGGGACCCTGCACAGGGTTTCCAAGGCTGTAAATCTTTATGGAAGGGACCTGAATTAGGGTGCTAGTACAAGAACTGGAAAGGAGCGATCCAATAGTTATTTTTAAGAAACATGTACATCTTGGTAACCATATATATGAGGGCTGTGGGTGAATTAAGGTTCAATAATTTCAAGGTAGAATAATTAAAGGGACTTCAAAAAGTTCATGGAAAAATTGAATTAAAATATAATAGAAATTTTCATGAACTTTTTGATGCTCCTTCATAACTTCAGACACATCCTTGATACTTTGCATTGCTTTCTCAGCATTGTTACTGGAATAGCATTCTTAAAAGGTTGACACGTGGCCCATAGGTATAATATAATTAAATGCAAAGCCCCTCGGTGAACATAATTCATGTTTGTTTAGTTAATTATCTCCAAAACACTGACAACAATACTCTTGTGTAATGTCAATAGAAAGCATAGGAGTCTTGGTAAAGCTTTATCTGGTAAACTTATATGGTTATACCAATGAACGTTTTAGCCTCTGGAGTCTGATTGCCTGGCTGTACCAGTTACTAAGTGTGTAGCCTTTGACATGTTACTTAACCCATCTCAGCTTGAGGTTGTTCATCTGTAGCATGAGGATAATAAAGATATCTTCCTCAAAGAGCTATTTGTGAATCCATATGTAGAGTGTTCGTAATAGTGTACTATATATATATTTTTTTTAATGCTCAAGAAGGATCAGTTAATGTTGAAAAATCAGGCATAAAGGTGTCTGCATGTTAAACTTTTTCTAATGACTTTTAAATGATGACTAAATTCTTTAGTGATTATTTAGATAATTTATTAACATATAGCTATGGTTATATATCCTGGTTGCTTTTAATAGCCTAGGAATTATTAGCTATTATTGATACTTAAAAAATAATATTTCAGCTATGTTAATTTTTTCTAGATTTCATTGATACCTTTGGAAGAAACATGTGTTGTAAAAAATCTGGAAGGATGAAAAACAACCATAATAATAGAAAAGGGGATGGGAAAAACAAAGGAACAAAAATAAAGAGTAAGTGAGTCATATTTCATAAAGTAGTAGTTGTTAACCTGGGTCTGTGATTTCTGAAGGGCCATGAAGATCGGAAATTGTAATAAAATGTATATTTAAAGAAAATTAAGTTCTGGATCATAAACATCATATACTTATGCATATTCACATTGTATATGGGGTGAAGAGTTTCAGTGTTTTTAATCAGATTGTCAAAGGGATCTATGACCTAAATGACTTGGGAATTCTGGGCATGTTGCTGTTAAGTGCCATTGAGTTGGTCCTGACTCACAGCAGCCCGATTTAGGTTTTCCTAGGAGTGACTTGTGGATTTGAATAGCCAACCTTTTGGTTACCAGCCCAGTACATATCCTATAGTGCCACACCAGATAGGAATAATAATAAAAAAAGAAACTCATTTAAATAATAATGTTAGGTTTAAAAATATTTACGAAATTTGTTGTTGTTGTTATGTGCCGTGGAGTCGGTTCCGACTCATAGCAACCCTGCACAGGGTTTCCGAGGTTGTTAATCTTTACGGGAGCAGAACGCCTCATCTTTCTCCAGCGGAGCAGCTGGTAGTTTCGAACTGCTGACTTTGCAGTTCGCAGCCCAATTCGTAACCACTACGCTACCAGAGCTCCTTATTTATGAAATTAAGCAAATAAAAATAGCCCATTGTTTCCTTTCATTTCTCTAACCAGGTTTAATTTTCTTACTCACTTAATATGGTTGTTAAATTCTAGTGGAGTCAGTTTTGACTCTAAGCACCAAGCCTATTTACAACCGGATGAAACACGACCAGGTCCCGAATCATCTTCACATGGTAGGGGATTGTGGATCCACATAAAATGAAATTCTTGGCAACTTTAATATTTCTTCCATTTATTACGATGTTGCTTTTTGGTCCAGTTGTGAGGAATTTTGCTTTGTTTACATTGAAGACAAATCCATAGTGAAGATTGAAGTATTTTTAAAATTTTCATCAGCACGTATTTCATGTCGTCTTTGCTTTCAGCAAGCAAGATTGTCATCGATATTTCAAAGGTTACTAATTAGTCTTCCTTCAATCCTGATGCCATGTTCTTCATATAGTCCACTTTCTAAGGTTATTTGCTCAGCATATAGATTGAATAAAGGAATTCCCATTCTTTGAAGTGTTATCAACAGTTAGTATATAATCCACACAGTTGAATGCCTTTTTATAGACAATAAAACACAGGTAAACATTTATCTTGTATTCTTTGTTTTAGTCAAGATCCATCTGACATCAACAGTGATATCCCTTGTTCCACATTCTTTCTTGAATCCAGCTTCAATTTCTGGTGTTCCCTGTCAATGTACTGCTGGAATGGTGTGTTAATTGTCTTCAGTAAAAGTTTACTTGTGTGTGATATTAATATTATTTGATAATTTCCACATTGTCACCTTTCTTTGTAATGGGCATGTTGTTGTTGTTGTTAAGTACCGTGGAGTTGGTTCCGCCTCATAGTGACCCTGCACAGGGTTTCCGAGGCTGTAAATCTTTATGGGAGCAGAACGCCTCATCTTTCTCCTGCAGAACCGCTGGTAGTTTCAAACTTCTGACCTTCAGGATGGCAGCCTGACTCGTAACCACTACACTACCAGAGCGCCTTTGGAATGGGCATTGTTGTTGTTGTTGTTGTTCAAACTTCTGACCTTCAGGATGGCAGCCTGACTCGTAACCACTACACTACCAGAGCGCCTTTGGAATGGGCATAGATGTGGATATTTTCCAGTCATTTGGCAAGAAGCTGTCTTCCACATTTCTCGGAATAGATGAATGAGTGCCTCCAGCGTTGAATACATTTATTGAAAATTTTCAATTGATATTTGTCATCAGTTCTCGGAGCCTTGTTTTTTGCCAATGCCTACAGGGCAAGATGGACTTCTTCCTTCAATACTACAGGTTTTGATCTTATGCTGCTTCCTGTAATGGTTAACATCAACCAATTCTTTTTGGTATGTTGAATATGGTGGTTCCAAGTTATTTTTACTAGTATTTTGAACTTCTCAAGGTAAATTATTTTACTTAAAAGACTGACAGATGTCTAAAAAATATGTCCTAAAATAATGGATATTTATCTTTCTTATATAACAGCTCATGGAGCTTCTAAAATAATTCATTGTCTTATTTCATCAATGAGCACTCTTTAAATAACTTTGACTCTATGGGTGGTGGCTATTGTTAAGTGCCATTGAGTTGATTTCTGAGGAGCAACTGGTGGGTTTGAACTGCCTACCTTATGGTCAGCAGTCCAGTGCTTATCCAGGACTCTATGGCTAATGGACCATTCACGTTATGGGTTGCTGCCTAGGTCAAACAACCCATAGGAGATCCAGAATTAGAAGACTGATCGGGCATTTGTGAGATCTGCCTTTTCTCACTCAGCTCTGTAAGAAGCTCTTTATTTGGTCTATCGAGTTGATGGTTCTAAATAAATAAAAAAACTCCTTTTACTGGGAACCTGACATGATATGCTGTAAAGACTTAGAAAGGAATGTTAACTAGTCTAGGAGACAAAATGTCTGCCAGTCATGCCAAGTATAAAAGTTTTCTGCTTAATTAAATTTAAAGTGTAAAGAATAAGAAAGCGATCTCTTTTTGGTAGTGTAGACTGCTTTTGTATTGTCTGAATTTAAATTTTCTCACTTTCTTGAGGTGGCTACTTCCCCACTGTAGCACTAAGTCAGCCTGTCAGACCTTGTTCTTTGTAGCCAAAGCATTTTTAATTTGATGCTCCATGTGTACTCCTGGCTTTATCCACACAGTGTCACTGTTAGGATCTGAATGAAAAAAATATATATCAGTAGGTTTCACTTCCTGACTTGATGTGTATTTTTTGTAGAAGTTCCAATAGCGAAGGTTTTGAGTCTCTGACTTCCTCTCACTTATTTCCTTGTGTGTCCAAAGGAAGAATTCACAAAATGCCTCAGAGAAACACGGAATAGTTAATGGTCTGTCTGTCAGCAGCTGTGAAGATTGGCTTGATGCTAAAGTTTTACTATGTCAGATTTCTTTTGGGACTGGTTTCTGACTTTCCTGCCTTACCCCACCCCACCCCCATGTGAAGAGCTCACCTCATTTAAGCTATTTTATTTAATTTTGGAAAAGTTCATGATTATTAAAGTTACTAATGGCATTGCACTATTTATATTTGAAATTGCTCATTCTGCTTCATCCCACTCCCAGTCTGGGGCAATATTCAATGTTTCTGAGATAAATTTAAAAACCAGCAATGATAACTCCTATAAACATACTTTGAATCCTGCTTAATGTACAACTCTTTACGGACCCTTAAGGTGGTTGGTTTGTTTATGTCCTGAAGTAATAGATTGAGTTACCTTAAACTTATCTCAGCTTGAATTTTTAACTTTCATTATTTGATTAATAATGAAATTATTTTTCACTAGTTTTTGATTATCACTACCACTTCCACTAAGTGCAACTGATTTCTCAAACAAAATATTGTCTTGCCTTGTTTCTTTTAAGACTACTATAGAGAAAAATCTTTAAATTTGGAAACCTTTTCAATTGAATTGCTCCCAGTTTTTCACTGGAGTCCTGGTGTGGTGCTGTAATAAACAATGAACTGCTAACCATAAGGGTGGTGGTTCAAATTAATCAGTTACTCCTGGACAACCTTATACAAAGTTGCTAGGAGTCAGAACTAACTTGATGGCACTTCCCAACAACAGCAAGAGTCTTTCACTTACTCTGTGAAGAGGAAAGAGGCATTCTTGTGATTACTGCTCAAACTGCTCCCCTTTCTTGCTCCTCTCCCATACCACCTTTTCTTTGGGCTAGCTATGGCAGTAACACTTCATTATTCATAGGAATAATGTCTGATTGGCTATTTCTGCAAAGGAAAATTTTAAACTTACCAAAACATTTCTATTGATCAGAGTTTTAATTTTTGCTCTCTTCCTCTTACTGAAGAGCAAATCCTAAATTTGGGACCAAAACAATTCATTATCACAGCATTGAATTTGTATTGTAAATCTGGTGGTATGCTCTGTAAGAGTAGGTTACCTAAGAGAAGACTTAAACATGTTTCTGCTATTCTCAATTGATTTAGGGACTTGTCAGCATCACTGTAACTCCTGAGTGTTTTGGTATCTGCCAGATGGAAGGCAGTTGGTGGGAAACTTGTGGTGAGTTGGCGTCATGAAGTCCAAAATGAGAAATTACCTCAATTGAATGTTTTGAGAAACTTTTCTGATCTGAAGAGTGTCTCTTATAGTTTAGGATTGCTTTTTATTTTCCTTATTTTTTAAACCACCAATTAATCCACACTGGTAACTGATCTTACTTGCTATTTTGAATGGAAGCATTCCAATGACAGCAACATTTCATTTCACGTTATGGATTGCTGCCTAGGTCAACCAACCCATAGGAGATCCTGAGTTAGAAGATTGACTGGGCATTTGTGAGATCTTCTTTTTCCCACTCAGCTCTGTAAGGAGCTCTTTATTTGGGCTATCGAGTTGATTGTTCTTAATCTAAAAAAAACCTTCTTTTACTAGGGACCTGACATGATATACCATAATGACTTAGAAAGAAACGTTAAACAGTCCATCCTGTCAACGGTGGCTGCCGGGCGCCGACAGACCATGGCAGGTCTTTTTATCAGGTCAATGAGCTGCTAAAAATTGTCTAAGTAGGACCCTGCCATGATAGGCCATAGTGCCTCAGAGGAAGTCATTATAGACTATCAAGTAAACAATACACATTTTTAAAAAATTACTAATTAGGTTTTGCAGCAATACTTCCCATCCTTAGGGGCTCTACAGTGAAATAATTGACCGCAACATGAGTTACGCCTCTCAAGCCAAAGGCGTGAAGGTTAATTATCATGGCGTACAGCCCCCAGCAAAGGGTGCCATTGTGAGGAGATGCTGACATTCCAAACATATTACTGATATCTATTTTATTAAAGAATTCTTAAGACAAAAACTTTTTTCCAGTAGTTTTAAGGAAGGGGGAAAGTGATGTAGTTGCAAAAACAGCATCTAGGCACAAACTACCCAAAGAGAGATACAGGGTAGAATAGAGGGAGATGTCCGGAGAATTTTGGTTCATAGAAAAATTGTCAGGTTATTTGTTGATTAAGAATCATTTCTTAGGGTAGGTTTGCACTAGACATTCCTGAAAGTATCTGTTGTCTTTGCAACATACTGTTCCTTATCCTTTCAGTCTACAGCATTTAGTCTCCTAAAAAGGAATTTTCATCTATGCATATGGAATAAAAGAGAACATGGGGACTGTAGGATAAGTTCTGGACTACAAAGCTCAAAGTCGATGATTTGAGCATACAAGCTACTCCATGGGAGAAAGGTGAAGGTTTCCGCTCCCGTTGAGATGCACAGCTTCAGAAACCCTATACAAGGTCACTATAAGTTGAAACCCACTCCACAGCACTTAATCACACCAATGAACTAGCAAAGCACTAAATTTCTTTATAGCATAAATTCACACTGTCATGCTGTAGGAATGCACATTTAAAAATGAATAGTATCCTTTATAATTTTATTTTAACTTGAAGTTAATAATTAAGGATCTAATTTGGTTCTCATGTAACCTACTTGAGGTTAAAAATGGAGATTTTAAGATGAGTGGTAATAAAGGAACAAAGAATAAGGAACAATACTGTGGATTCTTCTTCTGCTTGAGAAGAAGTAGATTGCAGCTTATCGTCACTATCATATTTGAGAATTTGTTCAAGAGGATGTTCATATCCAGATGTTAAGTGAAAAGGATCAAGAGTTCATATTTTAGCATGTGAATTTGCATGTGCACATTAAAACATTGTCTGATATCTAAGTAACAGCCAGGAGAAACAAAATATTCATACTTAGAGTATCTATCGTGTCCTTTTGTACCTAGGAGACTTGTTGTTCTTCTTAGATGCTGTCGAGTTCATTTTGACTCATAGCAACCCTCTGCACAACAGAATGAAACATCACCTGGTCCTGTGCCATTCTCACAATTGTTAGGTTTTAGCTCATTGTTGCTGACACTGTGTCAATTCATCTCACTGGGAACTTCCTCTTTTTTTGCTGACCCTCTACTTTAGCAAACATGATGTCCTTCTTCAAGGACTGGTATTTCTCGACAACATGTCCAACGTATGAGAGATGGAGTCTCTTCAGACTTAGGTGACTTCGGTGGTATAAACACTGCAGGTGTAAATGAGATTATACTTCCAAAGGTACTTTAAAAAGCAAAACAATAAAATGAAAAACAGTTCTTTAAATTGTTGGGAAGACATTTAAGGGGGCAAATTGAACAATTAGAGTTAGTGAGACTTGAAATATTTGATAGTGAAATTTCTGCATCTAAATGCATATCCTTGTGAGAATGTGTTTTACATTCAATTTTAGGATTTAAATATATTGTCATTACGGACAGTGGGATAGCCAGTAGTACTTTAGCTTTGCTTACTAAATATCAGCACAATGTGTAAAAGAAAAGTCACTCCTTTTTCTTCCAATACAAGGACAGATAACTGAGTTATTTGATTCATTTTCTCCACTGAGTTAACGAGGCATTTACTCTAACATGGCCAGGTCAGGCTTCATACTTTGCCTCATATTTCTCTCATTGACACTGTCTAGTATCCCGTATCATGGAAAACCATTCAGTACCAAAGCTTTTTGTAAAGTAGCCACAGATACTTCAGGTACGGGAATTAAGCACTTACCTTTCTTGCATAGGTGGAAGTTGAATCCAGCTATTAAATCGGGGATCATATCGACTGACAAAATTTGTACTGTGCTTTCCTGTAAAAATATATTTATCACACTTAAAACTTAGATATCATTGTTGTTTTGCACATTTAAAAGTATTTTATAAGATGTCTCTCTTCTTGGGTTTAACACACAAATTATAACAGGGGAAGACCTCCATTAGTCAGGGAAAAAAGATGTATAGTATCTCAAATGCTTACCCTTGTTTTTCTTTCCCCTCTACTTTTTTTTTCCCCCAAATGATCAAAATAAAACAACTATAACAATAAAAGTAAGTATATTTACCAAATCATTTTTATCGCAGTTTTAGGGTAAACGTTTCTGGGTAGTGTGTTTATCCTTTAAAAACATGAAGCTGTTGTTTATAAAGGATCAGTTCCAGGGACTATCTTGTGTCATTTTTTTCTGATTAGAGCCTTTGATTAATGATCAGTGGTATAGTCTATTTTTTCCTCAGTAAGAGTCTAAGTTAGGAATGAGTTTTATTTTACGCATGTTATGTAAATCCTGGGTGTGTATTTGAGGAAGCACAGTTGCTGTGAGTATCACAAGTATATTTGCTAAAATGGGAAACATGAGTCCTTGGTGCTGGTTAACCAGCTTATCCTCTCTGAGCCTATGAAGCACAATAATGCCTCCAAGGTATTAGAAGGAACCTTATTTTATTTACATATTGACATCAAAGCAAGAAATGGAAACAAAAGAATACATTACATTTTGCATGTAGTACCTAGGATTATAATCATCTAAAGTACTGGAGGCCCAACTCTAAAAATCTGCTTTTGTTCACATATGTGTAAATATTGAAATGCAAGCACCAAACTTTATCATGGGGTAAAGCCATAAAGTCTGTAGGTGTTCACACAGAAATGTACACACAACACACTTATTAATTATACAGGGTTTTTTTGTATGTGCACCCATTATATGTTTCCACCATTTGTCTGTCAGTTTATCATACTGTGGTGGGTTGCCTGTTGCTGTGATTCTGGAAGCTATGCCAAGAGTATTTTAAATACCAGCAGGGTAACCCACAGTGGGTAGGTTTCATCGGAGCTTCCACAAGAAGCCAGGATAGGAAGAAAGAGAGATGGACTACTTCCAAATAGTTAGTCACTGAAAATCTATGAATAGCAGTAGATCACTGTTAGCACCAGAATATTAAATGTTGAAGCATGATGTAGAGTACCAGAATCTTATCAGACATGGCACCTGAAGATAAACTTCTCAGGTTGGAATGCACTCAGAATATGACTGGGGAAGAGCTGCCTCCTTAAAGTAGAGGTGACTGTGATGATGCAAATGAAACACAGCCTTTGGGCCTTCAGTTGCTTATGGGGCAGAACTCCAAATGAAGAGAAACAGCTGTAAACATCTGTTAATAATTGTAACATGAAATGTATGAAGTACGAATCTAGGAAAATAAATGGAATGGAACGCATAAACATCAGTAACCTAGGCATTAGTGAGCTGAAATGGACTGATATTTCAATTTTGAATATGACAATTACATGGTTTACTAAGCTGTGAATGACAAATTGAAGAGGAATGGCACTGCATTTCTTCTTTAGTCTGAAATTCATCAAACATGCAATCAAGATGTGTTAATAATTACTCGTGATTGGAATGCAAAGGTTGGAAACAAAGAGGAAGGATCAGTAATTGGAAAATATGGTGCTAAAAACTATGATGGAAATTACATGATAGAATTTTGCAAGACCAGTGACTTTGTCAATGCAAGTATCTTTTTTATACAACATAAAATATGACTACACACATGGATGTCACCAGATGGAATACACAGAAATCAAATTGACTACAACTGTGGAAAGGGATGGTGGAAAAGCTCCACATCATCAGTCAAACTAAGGCCAGGGGCACACCATGGAACAAACCATCAATTGTTCATATGCAAATTCAAGCTGAAGCTGAAGAAAATTAAAACAAGTCCAAGAGATCCAAAATATGACCACCTGAATTTAGACATCATCTGAAGAACAGATTTGATACATTAGACACTAGAGACCAAATGCCAGAAAAGTTGTGGGATGACATCAAGATCATCACATAGGGAAAAAGCAAAAGGTTGTTAACAAGACAGGAAAGAAGGGAAAGACCAAAATGGATGTCAGAAGAGATTGAGACTTGCTCTTCAGGTAGATATGTTAAAGTAAATGGAAGAAATGAGGAAGTAAAAGAGCTAAATAGAACATTTCAAAGAACAGCTAGCGAATACAAGGTCAAATATACTGAAATGTGCAAAGACCTGGAGTTAGAATACCAAAATGGAAGCTGAAGGAACTGAAAAAAATTCCAGCCTCGACTTGCAATATTGAAGGTTTCTATGGGAAAACTATGCAGAAATCATCAAAAGAAGATTGAGGGAATACACAGAATCATTGTACCAGAAAGAGATGGTTGGTGTTCAATCATTTAAAGAGGTAACATATGATCAAGAGACAATGATAATGAAGGGAGAAGTCCAAGGTGCACTGAAGGCATTGGCCAACAGTAAGTCTCCGAAAATTAACATGATACAAATTGAAATCTTTCTGTAAACTGATTCAGCACTGGAGGCATTCATTCATTTACACCAAGAAATATGGAAGACAACTACTAAGCCAACTGAATGGAAAAGATCCATACTTGTGCCCATTCCAAAGAGAGGTAGCCTAACGGAATGTGAAAATCATTGGACAATATCATTAGTATGACATGCAAGCAAAATTTTGCAAAAGATGATTAAAAAACGGTTGCAACCATACATTGACAGAGAGCTTTCAGAGATTCAAGCCGGATTCAGAAGAGGATGTGGAATGAGGGATAGCATTGCTGATGTCAGATGAATCTTGGCTGAAAGCAGAGAATATCAGAAATATGTTTAGCTGTGCTTTTACTGACTATGCAAAGGCTTTCAATTGTATGGATCATGACAAGCTTGGCACAGCATTGTGGAGGATGAGTATTTTAGAACACTTTACTGTGCTCTTGAGGAACCTGTATATAGACCAAGAGACAGTTATTCAAACAGAACAAAGGAACACTGAATGGTTTAAAATTAGGAAAGATGTGCACCAGGATTGTATTCTTTCACTATACTGTATGTTGAGCAAATAATCTGAGATGCTGGATTAAAAGAAGAAAAATGTGGCATCAGGATAGGAAGAATATTCATTAACAAATGAATACAATCTTTCTAGCTGAAAGAGAAGAGGACTTATACTTATGGAGTGAACATTAAAGACCATAGCTTTCAGTATGGATTACATATCAATGTAAAGAAAACAAAAATCCTCACTACTGGAACAATAAATAACCTCCATATGAATGGAAAAAAGATTGAAGTTGTCAAAGATTTCATTTTGCTCAGATCAACAATCAACATTCACAGAAACAGCACTCAAGAAATCAAAGGATGTATTGCACTAGGCAAACCTGCTACACAAGACCTCAAGTGTTTAAGAGCAAAGATGTCAGGATGAAGGTGTCCCTGAAAAAAGCCATGGTATTTTCAATCACCTCATAAACATGTGAAAGTTGGACAGTGAATAAGGAAGACAGTAGAAAAATTGATGCATTTGAGTTATGGTGTTGGAGGAGAACATTAAAAGTACCATGCACTGCAAAAGAACAAACAGATCTGTATTGGAAAAAGTACAGCCAGAATGCTGTTTGGAAACCAGAATGGCCAGACTTCCTCTTTCAGACTTTGGGCATGTCAGGAGGGATCAGTCCCTAGAGAATGGTATCATGTTTGGTAAAGTGGAGGGTTGGAGAAAAAGAAGGCCCACAATGAGATGCATTGGTACAGTGGCAGTGGCAATACAATGACCTCAAACGTAGTAATGATTATGAGGTTGGTTCAAGACCAGGCAGTGTTTTGTTCTGATATACATAGGATTGCTGTGAGTGGGTATGGACTCGATGGCACTTAATGACAACTCAATGGCATCAAAGAACTATGTTTGATATGCTTTTAGTCTCTGTAAATATATTGGTATACAAGAAAGACAAAGCCTCTGTCTTTATAAATGAATAAAAAAACATGTAATATTAAGTAGAGACAAATGCTTTAAATTTTAAATAGGCTGGTCACCTTCTCAATGATGTCTTCTGTAAGTCATGCAAATACTTAAGAATGAGCTTCTCAGAAAGTAATGCAGGCAAGTAGAAAATCCCTGGGCTAGTAATGAGTAATGGTGTTGGAGGAGAATATTGAAAGTACCATGGACTGCCAAAAGAACCAATAGATCTGTGTTGGAAGAAGTGCAGCCAGAGTGCTCCTTGGAGGCCAGGATGGCCAGACTTCGTCTCTCATACTTTGGATATATTGTCAGGAGGGACCAGTTGCTGGAGAAGGATATCATGTTTGGTAAGGTGGAGGGTCAGAGAAAAAGAGGAAGACCCCCAGTGAGATGGACTGGACAAGTGATAGCATCAATGGGCTCAAGTGTGGCAACAACAGTGAGGTTGGCCCAGGATCAGGCCGTGTTTCATTCTGCTGTGCATAAGGTCACTATGAGTCGGTACTGACTTGATGGCGCCTAACAGCAAAGCAACAGTAATGAGTTAGTCATGTTTTAGCATAGCAAGAATTCTGGGGTGACCAAGACAGAGGTCAGAGAAGTTTCAAGGTCAGAATAGAGGGTTCCTCCTAGTCTTATGCAGAGTTTTACATTTTGTTACAAAAACAATAGGAAGTAATTGGAGGGTTTTGGCAAGTGAGGAACAAAGTCAAATTTATCTCTTAAAAAGATCACTCTGGCTGCTCTGTGAAAGGCAGATTGTAGTGTGGCCACTGCAGAAGCAGGGGAACTGCTAGGAAGCTATTTTAGAAGTCGAGATAAGAGATGATGGTGGCTTGAAAGAAAGTGGAGGTGGTGAAATAAACCAGGTGTGGCCTCTACTGTAGAGGTATTGGTGTTGTGTTGTTAAATGCCTTCATGTCAGTTCTGACTCATAGCCATCCTGTATAGGGTTTCTGAGGAGCAGTTGGTGAGTCTGAACTGCCAACCTTGTGGTTCATACCGACC